TGCTGTAATGAGACTCCTTACAGCATCCGATGCTGTAATGAGATTTTAGTAACATTTTATGGAACCAGTTCAAGTTGGTGACATTGGGTCATTAATTTTTCTAGTTGTCAATGTGACAATTTTTGTCTATGGATGTTTAAACACGTTCTTAGCATCGAATACAAGGTCCACAATGATGAGCACATTGACTCTGAGCAATTTCTATTATTTTGGGAGGTGTACATCAAACATTTTTTTCAGGTGGATATATTTTGTGTTTTGACAGTTTGTAATTGTCAATTCAAAGTTTCTATTTTCAAGTGTTCCAGTGTTACCAACTGCTACATACCTATTTCCCTACATTGCCAAAATTTACTTTATTTTTGTTAAAAAAAAGTATAAAAACGCGAATTACAAAAAATAGCATAAAAAACACGTTTCATAAGACTTAAAGCACTCATTCATTAAAAAACTCGTGGCTTCGCCACTCGTTTTTCAATTTGAATTCGTGCATTTCAAGCGTGCTTACGAAACTTGTTTTTTAATATACTATTAAAAAATTTTATTTGATTGTTTTTTCGAAAATAGAAAAGGAAGAAGATTTCCGATAGATGGGGTTGCACATAAATCATTTTTAAAGTCCCTAGATTTACAAAGTACCGCGGTTGGGTTGCCTGTTTTCGAGCCAAAATGGCGGTTTGACAGCTTGTCACTGCATCTCACCACTTATTTACAAAAACATTGCCGTCTTGTTGCCTTTGGAGTTGCAAAAATGGTAGTAAGAAGGATTTTCGACTCTTCAGAGTACCACGAGAAAAAAAGAAAGGAAATTTGGCGTAATGTTTTGGTTTGTAGTTTTAAATTTCCCGCTTGACTTTCGAGCCAAAATGGCGTCAAACCGCGGTACTTTGTAAATCTAGGGACTTTAATTGTTTTAAAGTTGATTTTTTTTTGTAATACTTTTTAAAGTTTAATTAGAAAATTCACATTAAAATCTTTTAAACATTAAACGATTACAATATAAATATTAACAATTATTAACAACGATTCATTAACATTTTAATTTTTAGAACTAACTCATATCGTACGATTTATAAGTATAATAGTGCCTTTTATGTTTAACCGTACAAAATAATAACATGGATGAGATTAACCCAAATAACTAAAAGAAAAATGTATCAATCAAAACGTTTATAAAGAAAAAAATGTATTGCAAACCTGTATAAATGCAATTCCTAATCCAACGACACCAATAACATAAAGTCTCGCTATGAACCAATTATGAATTTCTGAATAACAACCTCTATCGTACCAATTATCAGCGCTGTTTAATTTTCTTCCGCAATATGTACCATTTGGTTTGTCGTAAAGGATATCGGGGTAACAGCAAGATTCGGGAACCCAACGTTTGTCTTCCCAAGCTTTAATCATAAACCAATCTTCGTAATTTTCAACACCACAACATTTCAACTAATCAAAAAAAAAATTAATTAAAAGAAGAACTGGTGAATGAATGATGATGTTACATCCGTTTGAATTTTATCCCAAATGGATCCTAAACTATTCGGTTGGGTGTCATTAATATTGTAATGATGTTGTATTCCGTTTCTTAGTTCTTCTTTTAAGACGTGTCCGATTTTCTCGCGATAAATAAATGCCAACGATCCTACTAAGAATTCTGCTAGGAACATGCACACCACTAAACTAAAATACTTAAATAAAAAATTAAATAAAAATTTATTAATAAAATATTTATACTTACTGTGATTAACATGCATCGATTTTGACACCATGATCCGCAACATGCGAAAAATGCCAAAACGAACGTTATTACACCAACGGCGATTGCTAAAGTGTCCGCGCCAAGAAGTGCAAATTGTGGTAATAAATTTGCTAATCCCTCACACGCCACTTTTAACCAAATTCCTACGCCTAAAATTCCACATCCAGATATCTAAAAAAAAATTATATTTAATATTCGAGAATTTACAACTTAGGTCACGGGTGAATGAAACAAAAGGAAAATACCGTTATGTGTATCAACACCATTTCTTTAAACCGTGCGCTGACTCTACAAGAGTCGCCGATGCGAGTTGAACTACTTTTGGTTTAAGTTTAAAAATATTTTTTATTAAAATAATGATATATTAATTAGAACAAAACATTCACAAAGAGTATTCTAGAAACCAAAAACCATAAACCTCGAGAAAGTGACTTTCATCGACATTCTACACAGAGATTTTTTTAAATTTTCTTTTCTTACCCACAGAGCAACGTTCAGCCAGCAAAAGAGATATCGAACGCAGGAGTAACTCGACTTAGACATGATTTTTTATCTTTTTTCTTGTAATCTGCAAAAAAAAAATTTATAGAATAGATTTTCTTTATTCGAAGTAGTGCAACGGAATTATAGCGAAGTAGCATCGATCCGTTTTGCATAAAACATGTCTTTGTAACCATTAGAGACGATGTCAGGTGCACAATAGAAATGTTATTTAAGTATTTTCAGCTGATGACGCTCCCTCTTTTAACCTTGACTAGAAATTTATTGATTTATAGACAATTGGTGTATTAACAATAATAAATTAAGTTTATTTTTTTTAAATTAATTTTTTTTTGTATTTCGGGAAAGAAACTACATATTTTGTTTGTTTAGTAAACTCAAAATGTAAGCATCACCCAGATTTTCTCGCCTGATATTTTGAAAACAAACACGTTTAATGACTTGTTCTCCCCGGCGTAACAATACCAGAAGAAGTCGATGCTCTCATTTGACCACCGCGCTATAAATGGTAGGAAAAGTTTACTAAAAAGTTTCAAAATTATACATACGTATATGTTTTTATTTAATAAACGAAAGAAATAAATTAATCAACAAAAAAGGAATGAATGAGAATAAATCGAATAAAGGAATGTATGAGAAGTAGGTTTCAGTTAAGATTAAGCTGTTGTAAAATCCGTAACGCAACACGTAGGATAAATACTTATTAATAAATATGAGAGAATCCCACATCATATATAAATTAACAAAAACAAGTAATATTTTTTATGTTATTCGTTTCGTTTGGTTTTTTTTAAAGGTTAATTAATGATCTTTCATTAAAATTCTTAGAAAATTTATTACTCAAGAATAAATAATATCTGACGAATTCTTTTTGTAACCAAATTTATACTCATAACTGTACCCGTTACAAGTCTTTCTTCTTCAAGGACGCAACATTTGCAAACTCAGCAAATATTTTCTTTTTGATTAGAATGAAATGGTTTAAGAAAGTTCTTAAGGTTCGAATAAAAAAAATTATATTTCGATGGAATCTTAAATGACGCAAATTTGAATAAAAACAAATCTGAGTGACGCCCTCGGAATCGATTAATCTGAACGCAACTTATCGTTTTTTACGGGTCATTAAAAACGTAAACGATACGCGTGCAACCGTTCGTATTTCAAGCGACTAAAAACGATAAAAAATGTTTAACAAAAGTACTAGACAGAAAAAAATTAAACTTCCGGTTTGAAATTCCTTCTTTTAAGTCCATACAAGTTTAATAAAGTTTAATCGTAGGTCGAGGTAAATGTCACGACGTTAAAATTAGTTACATAAATGTCAAATGAGTTAATTAACACTTTAAAATTTGTATTAAAAAAACTTTAAAATAAACTTAACTTACCTAATAATCGATTAATTTTTTTTTTAATTTTACGGTTAAATTAGATATTTTAACTTCGGTACTTCCCACATCATATGATAATTAAGTTATAATAACGTTATTTATATATAAATAAAACGAGGGTCGCGTTTCGTATCACAACCGTTTTGAAGGACAAATTGGCACTGGTTGTTTGAGAATACTGAGCGAAGCAAACATTTCAGTTTAAATGTCCCACTTATTATAACGGAAGCGTACGAGGTTTGTCGACGACGAACAGAAACAGAGTTAAGTTCCGATGAAAACGGAGTACACTGCCCCCTAGAGAGCCGTTTTTCTAGGAACGTCCGCCAGAGATGGCGTTTAAAAAACTGCTTTTCATTAATAAATTAGAAATTTTAACCGAAACGGGTTACTTAACAAGTTTTGTAATTATTTATAAAAAGTTATAAAAGAATCACGACACATATATGTAATGTAACTAATAAATTAGTTCATTCTATCTCATTGAGATGTGACAAATACAGGGTGACACAAATAACATTCCGGGTTAAATTTGATGAGCGAGTAACTCACTGAAATTGTTGAATATTTAAATTCTTCTTTCTGAATAGTTCTTCTTCCAGCTGTGTTAACGTTTGAAAAACGATTCAACACCCAGTCTGGTATTTCCAATTTTGAAATGTCCTGGATTCGTTCTTGGAAATCACTGTGAAAGTTCTCCAAATAATGCCACTGTTAAATTAGGGAAATTGTTAAACTCTTATCTACCAATAGTTTTCTTATCTAAAAGCAGTCTGGCTACGAAAGCAGCAACGACAAAGTTGCAATGACAGTTGAAAAAAGTTTAGAGACAGTTAGCTGATCTGCGTACTTCATTTCAGCTCTTGAAAATGGGCCACATTTTTGTCTTTTTTTATCAGAATGCATTTTGTTCAAATGATCTTGCAACCTAGAAGGCTTCATCACCTCATTTGAAAACATTTTTTGGCAAACAAGGCACATAGGCGAAGAGGGATTTGTAGGATTTTCTATAAATCCGTATTTAATATACAGGGAAACGTCGTTTTACGCCGGGGTTCTGTTCCGAGAGACACCGGCGTAAACAAAATCGGCGTAAAATGAACACAAATATAATGGACAGTATAAGGTTAGGTTCCTGTTATGTTTATTTAATACATATCCTATATATATTCAAAATAAATAATAATCTCTTGATATAAATAATAAATTTTTTGAAATAAATCCAAAAATCCAGTTTCATTTGCTTTGATTGTTGCTTCCTTTCTTGCAGAATCATAACATAAGGTCGAAGGGCAGCTATGACACTTCTTTTAACATTTACGCTTCGATTGTAATCCCCATCTATGTCACAGAGCTCACCTGTTAACCTTTCTATAGAGGAAAGGATACGAGTTAGATAGTCGGTTTTTAGGATTTTCTTTCTCATCCTCTTCTTCTTCTTCGGGATTTTCTGATTGAGGGCGATCATATGCCTCCATCAACTCTTCTAATTCTTGATTTGAGATTGGTTATTCATGCACGTCTAACAGTCCGGTCACATCTTCAGTTGTTACGTCTTCGAATCCACATTCGCGTGTAAACTTGATAATGTCTTCGTTTATGTTAATGTTATTTACCACTTCTACACTTGCACCTTGTATAAATCCAGGAAGAAGTTTACACCAAACGCCGTTTAAACAATTGTTTGTCACTTCGTCNGGCAAATCCGCAGTGGTGGGGATATCCTATGCGGCCTTGCCGATCAGCAGACCGGCATGCCGATTCGAACCCGACTCTTGTCGGTTTTTATCAAAGAAAACCGGGCCGATGCGAGTAGTGCGTACGTACTGACCACCGACACATCATTTTTACCAATTCATTAAGAGTTTAAATCAACATGGAGTGGACCAATTCTGATACAATAATTCTTATTGATATGTACCGCGAGCGTACAAATCTATGGGATTGCAATTCAGCAGATTATAAGAATAAAAATAAGAGGCTTGATGCGCTTTTAGAAATTCCTTAAATAAATAAATTCCTTAAAATATTCCTTAAACTCGTTTCTCACAGCTTGTGCTGCATTTGTGCTCCTTCGAGGTATTTTTGGAATACTCATCATTTGGAAATGCGCAACATCTTGTCTCCATAGTCCTGGAGTAATATCTCCAGTATCCGTAGATTCTAAATCAAAGCATTCTTTGGGGCTGTAAAGATTTTTTGATCTATTTTGCTTAAGTAATTATGTAAATGTATTAAAGTCAATATTATTTTCGTTGCTATTTCCGGTTGTAATAATATAGGTTTTCTTAGTATTCGAAAAACTGAACTCAATATTCCAAACGCGTTTTCCGAAAACCTTCTTGCCCTGCTTAATCGATAGTTAAAAATCCTTGTTTTAGATCCTTTGTCTTGTAATCCCGGAAAACGTTTCATAATATTACATGATAGTGGAAAAGCCTCATCCTCAACAGAGACAAATGGAACTTCCACGTGCCGTCCCGGTAAAACTAGGGCTGAAGGCAGATTCAATGTGCACACTTCAAGACATTTCTTGAAATGTGTTGCATTAAATACGCCACCATCTGATATTCTTCCTTGAGAACCAACGTTTGCATATATAAAGTTGTAATTTGCATCAAACACTGCAAATAGTACAATGCTGAAGAATGACTTGTAGTTAAAAAAATCGGAACCATTCAGAGGAGCTTGTAGAGCTTGTATGTGCTTCCCATCCATTGCACCAACACAATGTGGAAAGTTCCATTTATCCTGGAACTCTCGGGCTATAATCTCCCAATCTCTTTCATTTTTTGGCATCTGTAACGAAAAATTTCTTTCAGATTAAGGAAACACTTCAACAAGAAGATGAGACAATAGAAGAAAATTCAATACATGCACCAACAGAAGAGAATCTACCTACACCTGCATCTTCTACATCATCTTTAAGTAGATCTTTTAAAAGAAAACGAGAATCTCCATCTACTACGCCTGTACTACACGAAGCCATGAACATTTTAAGGTCATTAAACACAAGGAAGCAGGAAAAAGATGAGTTCGCAATATTTGACGAGCAGGTTGCCATCAAAGTCAGGAAATTACCATGCGCTCATGCTCGATTTATGGTACAACACATAATAACTAACACTCTCTTTGAGGCGGAAATGGGAAAATACGACAAACCTTTTTTTGGGGCCCAACAATATCATTACCCACAACCCCAACCAATGGTTTATGCAAACTACTCAACAAATTTAAGACCTCCAACCACATCTACTACTCCTTCAGAAGTGCATTTGATTTCGGACACAATGTCTTCCACAACGTCAGTAACAGAAGATATTGATTCAATTTTGTGCCAATTATAGAGTTTTTTATTTATGAATAAATTATAAAAAAACCTCATTGTATATCTTACCTTAACATAATCTCGAAGTGAGTGTATTAATGCTTCACAAACGTCCGGTACAGTTCTTGAAATAACTTGCTTTGAAATTTTAAAAATATACATAAGAGTGTGGTAAGAATCTCCTGTAGCAAGAAATCGCAATGTTACTGCTAGACGTTCGCTAGCTGGTATGGCTTGTCTAAATTTTGTATCGTTCTTGGTAATTTTGGGTCCTATCATATTTAGTAAATCTTCAAAATCCGAACTCGTCATTCGAAAAAAGTTTCTGAATCCAACATCACTTCTATATTCTAAGTNATGTTCTGAATCCTAAATTGATATCTCAAAAATTGAGTGTTCTATGATTTTTTGAACAAATGTCCGCTGGAGCAAATTTTTCTAGAAAAATTCGAATAATTCGAGAGTTCAAATTGCAAAAAGTGAAGTTGTTTATAAACCTTCAAAACAGGCAAATCCAAATATGTAAAAATATACAGGGTGTTCCATTTAAAAAAATAAAGTAGGTGGCAACTTCCGGTATAACCGGAAGTGTTAGAAATCTGAAAATATTTTAGATGAAGAGAACGTAATTGATAATACGTCTAATGACCGGTCTCGCTGAGACACCCTGTATATTCAAAATAAATAATAATCTCTTGATATAAATAATAAATTTTTTGAAATAAATCCAAAAATCCAGTTTCATTTGCTTTGATTGTTGCTTCCTTTCTTGCAGAATCATAACATAAGGTCGAAGGGCAGCTATGACACTTCTTTTAACATTTGCGCTTCGATTGTAATCCCCATCTATGTCACAGAGCTCACCTGTTAACCTTTCTATAGAGGAAAGGATACGAGTTAGATAGTCGGTTTTTAGGATTTTCTTTCTCATCCTCTTCTTCTTCTTCGGGATTTTCTGATTGAGGGCGATCATATGCCCCCATCAACTCTTCTAATTCTTGATTTGAGATTGGTTATTCATGCACGTCTAACAGTCCGGTCACATTTGCAGTTGTTCGTCTTCGAATCCACATTCGCGTGTAAAGTTGATAATGTCTTCGTTTATGTTAATGTTATTTACCACTTCTACACTTGCACCTTGTATAAATCCAGGAAGAAGTTTACACCAAACGCCGTTTAAACAATTGTTTGTCACTTCGTCCCTCTTAGCTTTTGTCAAGACCTCTAAAAGCCCGTGGATTCTGGGAATGGTACACTACCATTGGCTTAAATTTTAAAGAACCAGAAATATTTGATTCCAAGAGAACAGTCAGTCTATCCTTGGCGGCTTTAAATCCACGAGCACTACGTTCTTCTCGCGAAATAAATGTTCTCGATGGCAACTTCTTCCAATAGAGGCCTGTTTCATCAAAATTGAAGATGAGATCTGCAGGGTAGTTCCCTTGTTCCACAATTTCTTGAAACTTTTAAAGGCAAGCTGCTGCTGCTTCTACATCAGCGCTCGCCGCTCGAGGTTTAAACGGATATTGGTTCGAGATTTGAATCTCGTGAAGCACCCAAGAAAGTTTCGTCAGTAATTTCTTGCGCCTTCAAATCAGAAAAATCAACTGTGCTTTTTCGCATATGATTGCTAGTGTTACAGGAATATTCTTTTGATTGGCATCATCAACCCACAATGCCAACATTTTTTCCATTTTCTCTATATTTTTTTATTGTCGTCTGATGTCAGGCGAACCGGGGAATCCCACGCCGGCACCAACCGGCGTAATTGTGAATCGGCGTAAACCGAACCGGCGCAAAACGACGTTTACCTGTATTCAGGATTGTATTGCCGTCTCTTCCTTTGTTATGTTGTCTTCACAATTATCTTGACTTAAACTTAATTGAAGAATTGTGGCTATAAAAAACTTGTTAACGATTACGCGTTGGTTACGAAAATACTAATGAAAATAAAATAGATATATGGGTGTTTTTATAGGTTTAAAATACAACACGCATCGACAGGAATAAGCCACACATGCACAAACTTGTTTAAGCCGGGCGCGGGTACATCACGTCTCTCTTTATCGACCGGTATCCGAATTGATCCGAATGCGTTCTCACTGCCCCGTCTGCACATATAGACGCAGATGATAGATAAGCTATAAATTTAATTTTAATATAATCTGGCCAAAAATAAAAACGTATAACATTTGTAAATTAACAATAGAATGGGCTATTAGACAAATCAGCCGTCGTATTCTTAAATGGCTTCAGAATTACTTTACCGCCCCCCCCTGTAGTGCCCACATGGAAAAGAAATAAACAATCAAAACTAAATTTTATATTTTTTTCTTAATATTTTTATTCACTTTCATCGGAAGAACTAGTTTCTTCAGCTTCATGTAACCAATCGATAAAAGGTGCCACTTTTTCGCTTAATCTTGTCCCTTTTTCCAGTTTTTTTGACCACACTATAATAATTTCTTCTTCCAAATAATCTTTATCATACAAAAAATTTAAAATATTCGTTATAGAATCTGATATTTCATTATTAGATGAAGCCATATCCTAAAATATCACCACAATACAATTAAATTATTAAAAAATAGGGTAAATCTAACCTCAATCGCTTGAAGGCAATCTTCCATCGCCGAATGATTCCTAATATAATTCTTTAAAATCGGCGAAAAATACAAAAATGATGAACGCAAAGCTAATAAATACGAAGATTTGTTCATATAGTGGAAGGGCAAGTTTAAAATCGCTTTTACAACGAAATAATTAACCTCTTTCAATGTGACGTTGTATGCGTATCGTGAAGAATTAATTTCAAGGATTAAATTGTCGCAAGGTAATTTATCTTCAAATCCTCGTGATAAACTATCCATCACTTCATTGAAAAACACTACAAATTAAAAAAATAACTAAAAGATAAATCGCAAAAATTAAATTTTATGTATTAACTGCTCGTATCGTCAGGTACAGGCGAATGAATATGCGATAACGATCCTTCAGAATCACTACTACTATCCAAATAATCCTCATCTGATTTTTCCACTTCATCACAAAGATGCATTTTTGAAAACTTAACCGCTAAACGAGTTCCTAAAACGTCGGGGTCCTCCACATCATCAATAAAAGGTATTCGAAAAGCTTTCTCGCCCAATTTCGAAACTAAATCGCCATGTTCTTCTTCTTCCTCCGGTTTTGTGGCTTGTATCAAACTATTTTCAACAAAACTATCTTTCGGTAAAACAACCCCACCCCCTAAAACGCTTCCTATCGTAATTACACAGTTCTCGTTAATAACACAATTAGGGCCAATAACGCTGTGATTAATTGTGGAATTATCGTAAATTTCAACGTTGTCCATTGTAAAAGCGTTTTCGATTTTTACATTATCACCAATTTTGCAGTTATTTCCAATTATCGAATTGGTTATGGTACTAGTTTTTGAAATCGAACAATTTTTTCCTATTAAAACTTCACGTTCGATTGAATAACACGGGCTAAAAAATTTGTATAATTAATTTAAATCAATTCATCATCAGGAATCGGTCCTGGTATTTTAACAAGGTTCACGTGCGTAAATCATTCCGGTAGTTTTATTTGTTTTTTGGGGAAATAAACAGTAGCCAGATTTGAATCATTAATCATTTTTAGTAAACAGGGCATATTTTCATAAAACAACAAATAATATAATCAGAAGGGAGAGAAGGCATCAGAAGGGAGATGTATCCATTCATCAAAAGGGAAAATGAGGAATTTAAGGAGAAGATTGTGGAACAGGAGAAACGTATAGATATGCTGGAAAAAGAATATGGTAATAAAGGGAATTAAAAAAGAGAGATTTGAAAAGAGAGAGAATGAGGTGATTAACTTGATGAGGAATATCGGAGTAAATTTAACAAGCGATGATGTTGATATCACAAGTAGAATAGGAGTATCTAAAGAAAACGGAAGGCAGAAGGACGGAAATCGTAAAAATAGCTAAAGAGTTGAAAGGAATGAACATATGGATAGATGAGGACTGCTCTAAGAAAATTCAGAGAGAGAGAGCTATGATGACCAAACAAAGGGAACTCAGGAGGAAAGGAGTTGAAGCTCATTTATAACACAACAAAATAATTGTAAAGGATGAAACAAATGACGAGGGGAAGATAGTGATGAAGAAGCTGGCAGGAATAATAAACGTACAGTTTCGGAAAGATCACCGGACTATTTAGAGAGACGCCCTATAAATTCAAAAAACTAAGCGTAGAAAGAAGAGGAGACTTTACTGAGTATGAAAATGGATAAACGCAAGGAAAGGCAAGGAGAAAATAGGAAAGCCATAAAGATGAGAACGTGGAATATTACAACTTTAACGGGAAAGGGAATGGAAATAATGGAGGAGATGGTTTGGAATAGAAATAATGGGAATTAGTGAAGCGAGAAAGAAGAGAAGGGGAAGCATACAATTATCAAACAATTATAGTCTATACTTTTCAGAAGACCGAGAAAATACATGGAGCAAGGAGAGAGTAGGAATAATTATAACAGAACTAAATAAAAGAGTACAGGGTGGTTCAAATTCGATGTCCGAATAGGCTAACTCGAAAACTATAAGAGTTAGAAGAAAAGTAGCTGACATGTCATGATCTCGTTTTTCGAGAAACTGCTAATGCCGAAAACCTCATAGCGCTATCGTCTTTTGTTTTTCCGCTAGAGGCCAAAATTGAAAATATCGTAAAACCCGCAAATGTAATTATCTTGGTTATTATTATAGGTGGAGTATTATAACTAAGACATTATATGGACACTTTTTTACAGAGAATTTGATGACGTAGTCAAAAAAATTTTGTCGGTTTTAGATTTTGAGATATTATCACAATTTTCGTTTTTTTAAATGGAAACAACCACTGATTATTCGCTTAATAAATTCGTTATTTTTTTCTGATTACAAAAATATAGGGTTTGACAGGTCTATTTCTTATTGTTTTAGAATAAAACTAAAAATAAACTTTTCTTTTAGTGTCGTCGAAGAAATTAAATTTACAGTTTCCTGTAAATTACGGTTCTATAACTAAAAATTAAAAAAACATATTTCTGATATTTGAAACAAATATATTTGTTGAACTGTTTAATTTATATATGTTTTACACAAAAGTTGGAATAGATTGCATTATTTCACATTTTTTATTACGATTTAATATTATTTTTAAATTACTTAATAAATTATCGATAGATGGCGCTCATTTTTTTTTTTTTAATTCAAATAAACATAGCAACATTTGTTTGTATTCAAAAATTTTCTGAAGTGTCACTTTAAAAATCCTGTTTTTAAGATCAATTACGAAAATTTTGAAAAGTTTGACATGTTAGAATGTTACATATTAAAAAATTATTTGTTTTTAAATACCAGAAGTTATCTTCGTATTTAATTGTTAACTTTTTAGATTTTACCTACCGCCCCGTAACTTACAGGAAACTGTAAATTTAATTTCCTCGACGACACTAGATGGAAATTTTATAAAAAAAGTTTATTTTTAGTTTTATTCTAAAACAATAAGAAATAGACCTGTCGAACCCTATATTTTTGTAATCAGAAAAAAATAACGAATTTAATAAGCGAATAATCAGTGGTTGTTTCCATTTAAAAAAACGAAAATTCTCATGATATCTCAAAATCTAAAACCGAAAAATTTTTTTTGACTACGTCATGAAATTCTCTGTAAAAAAGTGTCCATATAATGTCGTAGTTATAATACTCCACCTATAATAATAACCAAGATAATTGCACTTATTGGTTTTACTATATTTTCAATTTTGGCCTCTAGGGGAAAAACAAAAGACGATAGCGCTATGAGGTTTTCGGCATTAGCAGTTTCTCGAAAAACGAGATCATGACATGTAAGCTACTTTTTTTCTAACTCTTATAGTTTCCGAGTTAGCCTATTTGGACATCGAATTTGAACCACCCTGTACATAAGTATGCATCAGTGAATTCTAGAATTGAGAATTGACCCAAAATGCAGAAAACCTTGGATAAATCCAGAGAACAATGACAGGAAGTAATTATAAGAGAATATGGGGATCAGAATATGGAGGCAGTGATGAATACAAGTGGGCAAAGAATGCTGGAACTTTGGCAAATAAACAACTTATTTCGCCGCATATACATGCGGAATCTCCAAAACAGAGTCGAGAAAGTAAAGACTGAAGCAGAAATAAGAACCAACCACAGATAGTCATGGCAACTATTAATAATATAGAAATCGAAAGAGAAGAGATGAAAACACAAGATGGAAAGATAGATTTAGACATAAATGCAAGAGTAAGGAAAACAAACAATGTATGTCATACTCTAAACTTCTAAACAGAATAATTTTTGGGAAGAAGGAGATAGATAAAAAGATAAGATTGAAAGTGTACAACGCAATATTAACATATGCCAGTGAATCATAGACATTCCAAGATAAACAAGAAGGAAAGATCACAGCACTGGAAATGAAATTTTGACGAAAAATAGTGGGGAAGATGAAGGATAAGGAGTGAGGAAATAAGACTGGGAGAAGATCAAGCAAAATAGAGAGAAAGCAACTATACAGGGTATCTCAGCGAGACCGCTCATTAGACGTTTCTGGCGTTCTGGCCAAACAAAAAATTTGAAAATGCAAACTTAAGTATTATCAATTACGTTCTCTTCATCTAAAATATTTTCAGATTTCTAACACTTCCGGTTATACCGGAAGTCGCCACCTACTTTATTTTTTTAAATGGAACACCCTGTATATTTTTACATATTTGGATTTGTCTGTTTTCAAGGTTTATAAATAACTTTACTTTTTGCAATTTGATTCGGCCGTTCTCGAGTTATTCGAATTTTTCTAGAAAAATCTGCTCCAGCAGACATTTGTTCAAAAAATCAGAGAACACTCGATTTTTGGGATATCAATTTAGGATTCAGAATATGCTTAAACAACATGATGGAGTATTGAAAGGGTTTTCAAAGACGACTAAGTAATAAAATATGGGGGGTGCCATTTAAAAAAATGAAGTTATGGTACTTCCAAATTTTGAAAAGTTAACGTGCCATAGTAAAGTGACCAAACGTTCTAGACAGCCGTTCTCGGCACCAAAACATACTCCATCATGTTGCTTAAGCATGTTCTGAATCCTAAATTGATATCCCAAAAATCGAGTGTTCTCTGATTTTTTGAACAAATGTCTGCTGGAGCAGATTTTTCTAGAAAAATTCGAATAACTCGAGAACGGCCGAATCAAATTGCAAAAAGTAAAGTTATTTATAAACCTTGAAAACAGACAAATCCAAATATGTAAAAATATACAGGGTGTTCCATTTAAAAAAATAAAGTAGGTGGCGACTTCCGGTATAACCGGAAGTGCAAGAAATCTGAAAATATTTTAGACGAAGAGATCGTAATTGATAATACTTAAGTCTGAATTCTCAAATTTTTATTTTCGCCAGAACCCCAGAAACGTCTAATGACCGGTCTCGCTGAGACACCCTGTATAAACTGGTATGCCCATATAATTAGAATGGAACATAACACAATAGTAAAAAAGATATTTGAAGCAAAGAATAGGAATAAGAAAAAGAGGGGAAGACCTAGGAAGAAGTGGGAGGCAGATATAAAGGAATTAGCCAGAAAGTGGAGGGAATGGAAGAAGTGGATAGAGGAATAGGAAAAAGATTAATCTGACGCCATCAGGCGTCAGATAATGGAGAGGTAAGGATCAGGAGAACAAGAAGAAATCAATTCATTGTATTTTACTTACGTTACATCTGCAGTAATTGGACAATACCAATTATTCATCATTTCTCGGCTTAAAAAGGGCAAAATAAAATAAATTCTTTTAAAAATTAAATTGTTTATACCATGTTGCTTGATACATCCGCCAATTAGTGATGGCCCCTCCATGTTCATTTCCTTTCAATGGATGCCAATAAATTGTACTTCCCATAATTTCTTCATTTAAAAGTAATCCCTTAATGAAATCATCGCGCGTTTGAAAATCGAAATTATCAGAAAAAAGTGGTAAAACTTCTTGGGAACAAATTGCGATGCGAGTATCTTTGAGGTTATGATTAATTGAAAGGCAATTGTTTTCTAAGAAAATCTCTAAAGGGATATCAATTCGCTTTGTTTTAGTCAAGCCGATTTTCTTATGAAATAAAATCCGGTTTTGTAGGTTAGAGGCAACCACAATTTCTTCGGTGGGACATCGACCATATTGCCCCGTTGTTGATTCTTCATAAATTAAAGTCATAACAGCTCCTTTATCTTTCTGACAAGTTTCTCTACATCATTTAAAAATAATTAGAAAATTAAAATAATTAAAACAATTTCAACTTACTTATGTTTTTGCATGATTGGCAATAAGTTAATATTTGATATAACTCCGGCTTCGCATAAAACGAAATACCCTCGCAATAAACCTTTTGCATCTAAATCCCTCATACAATCACCGAAAGACACGCAACTCTCAGATACTATTACATGTATTTTCAAGGATAAGCACCAAATTGTATTTGCATTTTCTTTTCCTCTAAAATATTTAGTTTAATTTATTTGTAAAATGATGCAATATAAATCAAACCTTATGTAATCTTTAATAAGTTCAACGTGAGCTGTACAAAAAAGGAAAACTTCTTCAACACCACCAAGGGCTAAAAACTCTAATGTTGATGCAATTAGTGGTTTATTTGCAACCGAAAATAATGCCTTAAAAAGTGAGGTTAAATTAACTTTCTCTTTTAATTTATTAATTTACCAATGGAATATTGTTGGAAATCGGTAAAAATTCATGTCCGAATGTGTTTGCTATAACCACAGCTTGAATTAAGTCGTTTCTTTGAAAAACATCTGTATTTTTCTTTGATGACATGTTTTTGAGGTTAAATAAGTGTCTAATAACATTTCGAGATTTTGCGATAGAGGTCGCTTTTTTTTTTAATAATTTAATTTTGATTTAAATAATTTTTAATAAATTGAATTCATTTTAAATTAAATTTAATGCGTAAATGAAAAAAGAATTATAGTTAATTTAAAAATTATTTTAATAAATCTTTAGTTATTTAAATTTATGTTGGTAATATAATAGTTAAGTTGGCCATCACATTTTAGAAACCATACCGCTACCGGGCCTTAGTTTTGACAGCATGACAACTATGATTTATAAATAATGAGTTTTGTCGGTTTTTTCTATAAGTATATCGGCTGAGAATAGTTTTATTAATTTAAAATGGATCAGAAACCAACCTTAGATATCGTTTATATGGCTATTTCAGCTTTGTACAATAACCCCAACACAAGTGAAAAGGAAAGAGCATCCCAATGGCTTGGAGATCTACAAAAATCAGTAAGTTTTTATTCCTGTAAAAACGATTTTAATCCTTACATAATTGTATTAACTTAATTAATTAGATTGGAACAATAAATATTTTAGGTACACGCCTGGACAATAGCTGACGAATTACTCCACCACAAGGCAGACTTAGAATCATGTTATTTCGCAGCGCAAACGATGCGTACAAAAATCCACCAGTCTTTCCACGAATTACCTTTTGAAGTACACTCTTCTTTAAGAGATTCACTTCTTGATCATATTAGTAAAATAACGGAAACAACAAATCCCATCATCGTAACTCAATTATCTTTAGCTTTGGCTGATCTCATCTTACAAATGCCCATTTGGCAAAAAGCAACGTTAGATCTTGTTAATCGGTTCTCCCAATCTCACTTATGGCCACTTCTTGAAGTACTCATAGTTCTTCCAGAAGAATTAGAAATCCGTTCGGTTAGATTGGGCGAGAATCGTCGTATAGAAATACAAGCAGATTTTAAATGTTGCGCTCCAACTGTGAACGAATTCTTAAAGCACTGTTGCAGTAATTATTCGACAAATTTACACGAAAACGTCCATCTAAACGTAAAAATTATTCGTTGTTTTACATCGTGGGTTAGCGTGGGGGCGATACAATTAGAAGATGTCTCCGATAACTCAGTCGTTGCTCACGCTTTAAATGTACTTTGTTATAAACAAGAAAGTGAAAAACATCCCCCGATTTTAGGGGCGTTACACGACGCAGCCACCGAGTGTTTATGCACATTATTAAGATGTTTGGAGTCGAACAACAACCAACACAGCTTAGAAATGTTCCTTTTCAATAGCATCTTAAACTTTGAAGTTCCATATCATTTAAGCGTTGCAAACGAAGATCAAGATAAATCGATGAATTACTGCAGGATTTTTACCGAATTAGGAGAATCGTTTTTAGACAAAATCGTAAACGCGCCACTCAATCAACCTCATTTTGCAATTAAAGTTTTCGACTTGGTACTTCTTTGCGTTGGACATCACGATTACGAAGTAGCCGAAATTACTTTTAATTTGTGGTATTTATTAAGCGAAGAACTTTATAATAGAAAGGATAAAACCACCACGGAATTATACAGACCATATATTGAACGATTAGTAACTGCCCTTTGCAGGCATTGCCAAATTGAACCTGATCACGAAGGACTTTTAGACGAGGGCGATGATTTTAAAGATTTTCGATTGAAGGTTTCCGATTTAATTAAAGATGTTGTGTTTATTGTGGGGAGTTGTAGTTGTTTTAGACAGATGTTTATGAATTTGCAAGTTCCGGGAGTTACTTGGGAAAGTACCGAAGCTGCGCTATTTGTTATGCAAGCTGTTGCCAAAAATGTTTTGCCGTAAGTATTTTAAAGGATTACCCAAGGACAGTAGAATCTAAGAGGACTGCTACATCCTTATATGCTTATTATTGCTGATGAGAGCGCTCCTCTCATCATCGCGACCTATAAGATCTATTGTAACTTCAGCCCTCCAAAAGTTTAGGGCAAGTGTAATGTCCTTAATGAACCTTAGTATTGCTCCAAGGTCTTGTTCCTATGTAGGTAGGGGTCAAAAGAGCTTTACCGAAAATTTTGTGTTCAGCCTTTTCTGACTCGTCGTTGCAAAGTCGACAAGTTAGAGTCCTTTGCTGAGGCATAAAACCTTTTTGGCTTTCTTTCGTGGCGGAGTTATAATGCTCTATGCTTGTCTGTGACCTGGAAGTTCTTTCCAGCGTAAGGCTACCTTTGAGGTCTCCCAATTGTTGATTACTTGTTTTAGGTGGCTTTTTTGTAGTCCACAGCCGGGTTGGGGTCCATCCACGCTTTTCTGCCTCTTTGGTCAGTTTGTCCGCCTTTTCATTGCTCCTAGCGAGTTCTCTCAGGTTGCTGTGTAGACCTGAATTGCCTTTAGGGCGGCCCAACTGTCCGTAAAAATGTTTATGGATGCACCTTTCTGTCCCTTTTGTAGGTTCAAAGTAGTACAGAAGTTTATAGCAAGTGCTTTTGCTTGAAAAATGATTATATCTGAGCTGAGGCATGAAACCTCTTTGGCTTTCTTTTGTGGCGGAGTTATAATGCTCTTTGGTTGTCTGTGACCTGGAAGTTCTTTCCAGCGTAAGGCTACCTTTGAGGCCTCCCAACTGTTGATTACTTGTTTTAGGTGGCTTTTTTGTAGTCCACAGCCAGGTTGGAGTCCATCCACGCTTTTCTGCCTCTTTGGTCAGCTTGTCCGCCTTCTCATTGCTCCTAGCGAGTTCTCTCAGGTTGCTGTGTAGTCCTGAATTGTCTTTAGGGCGGCCCAACTGTCTGTAAAAATGTTTATGGATGCACCTTTCTGTCCCTTTTGTAGGTTCAAAGTAGTGCAGAAGTTTATAGCAAGTGCTTTTGCTTGTAAATGGTTATATCCGAGCTGAGGGGCAATTTAATGCGGCTATTTGGTCCGCTAATGCCCATGCCTATTCCGGATCGAACGGCCTTCGATTTCGAGGTGTCCTCTGAGGTTACCCTATATCAGCGTTTGTATATATAAATGAAGTGGTGTGTGCCAGCTGTTGTTGTGCTGTTTTATGATTCCTTTATGGCCACCAAACCAGTGAGGCATAGGCGACCATGGGTCTGATTATTGCTACATAGGCCTAATTCATTCGTGGTTTAACCATTTAAGGACGGCTCCAAAATTTATTCGCTTACCTCTCAGACGGCACCGATGTTATTGCCGCACAGACGACCGCCGTATATGTACGGCAACAAATGTTTGCTATGTTTATAGGCGATTTAATTGTTTATCTATGGAGAAATAATAAAAAGAGAAATCAGAAAATTATTTATTGTACATATGAACAACAGCAACTTTTATTTCTTTCAGTATTGGTTTTTAGTGTGGTAAATTTCGAAGCAAGGCGTCAGACACAACCCCACGTTGCAAATGGTACACATGTACCGTGAATCTTTCCTCTTTCTGGGTCCTAAAATTGTTTGCGAACATACTACACATCTTCTTTGAGGTGTCTTATTTGTCGGTGTTGCAGGAACAACGTGAGGAAAATGTTTTTCCACCAACCTTCTAACATCTGGCACACCACGAGCTATTCTTATAGTAGGGTAGTCAAGAGGAAACCTGTGTTAAATATGAAGTTAAAAAATGTTACAATTCAGGGGTGATACTTACTTTTCAAAAATTTGCCGAATAAGTTTCAGCTGGAAATCACCAAAAGGAATTTTGTTAACATTTTTTGTTTGCATCATTGCGTGCGAGTTTAGAATTAATAAATCTAATGAGTGGAAGAAAAGTTTCTTGTACCACTTCATACTTTTGCGCATGCATTCTATATTGCTCAACATCATATCTGTGCGATCAACTGCTCCCATTCTCTCGTTGTAATTGATTACACACAGTGGTTTTTTCGTAGCCTCATTTGTTCGCTTGTCAATTTTATCCATGATTACTATTTTGTTCTCGTGCATTGTAGATATCATAGTTACGTCGCGGCGATCTTTCCATTTTATGACAAGAATTTTATCGCTACTTTTCGAACACAATTCGCCCTTCTTCAGTTTTTTTTTCAGTGTAGGCATATATTTTCTATTTTCACGCACAGTTCCACAGGTGTTCGTTTTTTTTTCGAAAAGATAATTTGCCAAAATTGGGCTGGAATAGTAGTTGTCTGTGAAAAGCTTGTGTCCCTTGTCAAGGTATGGTTTCATAAGAGACACTACGACAGATCCTGAAGATCCTAGACCCTTTATTTCTTCAACAAATTGTTTTGTATCATTTCCAACATACACAACGAAATCAAGAACCATTCCAGTTTCACAATCACAAAGAACGTACAGTTTCATTCCAAAGCGATGCCTTTTCGTCTTTATGTATTGTTTAAAGCTTAAACGTCCTTTAAATAACACCATGCTTTCATCAACAACTAAATTTTCAAACGGGTAGAACTGTTTTTGGAAGTTCTCCTTTATGAGTTTGAGGACTTTTTCTACCTTATATAGTTTAGTCGTAGGTTGTTTTTCATTATTCACAAAATGAAGATTTGAAAGAATACTCATATATTTGTCCCTAGGCATGGTTCTAGAAAAGATTGGAGACTCGAGCAAAGAATCTGTAGACCAATATTCTTTTAAATTAGTTTTTTTGTTTCGAGACATTAGCATTGTTAGACCGATAAAAACATAAAATTCTTGTGTTGAAAGTTCTTTCCAATCCTTTGCCTGATTTTGATTAGCATATCGGTTAGTTTCGGTTACAATATATTCTACGATATCTTCGGTAAATAGGCTTGCAAAATAATCAAATTCTATGGACTTTTCAGACAAAGAATCATTCCTGATGCCGCTATTTGTAGGATCAAATTCGAAAATTGTTGGAACGAAATCACTGTCTCCCCAAATTATTTTTATGTCGGCGTAATCTTTTTCTGTCGTCGCTAGGTCGGTTTCTAGTTCATGATTACTGTCTTCACTTACACTTTCTACTAACATTACATCTTGATATTCATCAATTAACATATCATCTTCTTCAGACTCTTCATCTTCACTTGGTAAATATTCGCTTCCGCTGTCTTCAAATGGCTCTTCATCGCTGCTGTCCACGTAAAAATCCATTCTGTAGGACATTGTGCACAACACTAATCATCCGTTGTTTCACTTATTACGGAAAATATATCACTTATAAAAAAATATAGAACATGTGGTGTTTTTGAACATTGACCACGTGTGTAAAAACAACGCTTATATACGGCGCTCGTCTGTGCAGTACAAAATTTTGTGCCGTTTAAAAACGGCTTTCGCCTATAAGACACAAATTTTAAATTGAGCCGTATATGAATGGCAATAGGTCATAAGACACTCAAAACCGTTTGCGTATATATACGGCGTTCGTCTCTGGGACTGATTTTTGTGAAACGTATATATACGGCAATCGTCCTTAAAGGGTTAAGAGTGGCAGATATTGCCTTTAGTTATATGAAAATTGCTTTCAGAAATGATGTAGATTTCTTACAAAACAATTAATGAATGTTATGTAGAGTAGGAAGATGATACTTCCACAGAAACGTGCTTTGAGTAATCTTATGATTACAGAAACTTATATAGTACAAAATTTGCATTGTGGTGCACAATTATTTGTAGACATAATAAATATTGTAAAATTTTAAACAAAAATGTTGTCCACATTTGTAACAAATATATTAAAACTTAACCTAATAACACAGAACACATAATGGGAAATTTACAATCCATGCACATTTGCTATCAGTGATTTGTGATTTACAACATTTTTATTAAAATTTTATCGAAATTGGCAATAAAATAAAGTCAGTGTTGCTCCTTGTCTGATATTTCAATATTTTCTAGTAATACCAAAGTTATATGTATTAAATACACTTACACAATGAGCAAGTGTATTTAAGTATGATTGGCTTTTAGTATGTGTACTCAACTGGGAATTGTTTAAACTCCTTTTCTGGGAAACCGCAATAATAATAAAAGATAAATAAATAAAACTAACACCAAAGGAGGCGTTGATATAGAAAAACAATTTNTGTAAAAACAACGCTTATATACGGCGCTCGTCTGTGCAGTACAAAATTTTGTGCCGTTTAAAAACGGCTTTCGCCTATAAGACACAAATTTTAAATTGAGCCGTATATGAATGGCAATAGGTCATAAGATACTCAAAACCTTTTGCGTATATATACGGCGTTCGTCTCTGGGGCTGATTTTTGTGAAACGTATATATACGGCAATCGTCCTTAAAGGGTTAAGACCCCTTTTCCTTCCGAGGATCGTGCGGCAGATCTGGTTAGCCATAATGGCCTTTTTCCTCACCTTGCGTATGTGGGAGTTCCAGTTTAATGTACTGTCTAGTATTACTCCTAGGTATTTAACTTCTGTTTTGAGGTTTATAGTTCTACTTTCAATGGAAGGTCCTCTCAATTGTAGCTTCCTTCTCCGATTGAAAATCGAAATAGTCCCTATTTCGATTTTGTTTTTATTGATGCTGAGTCCATTCCACCAAGCGCTGGTAAGTACTAGGGCTTTCTGCATTAATTGAGTTATGTTTGTGTCATATTTACCTCGGATTGTGATTACCAGGTCATCAGTATACCCCTGAATCATGAATCCATTTTTTATTTAGGTTTTCATCAAGTCATCAACTACCAGGAGAGGTGAGAGCACTCTATTTCTAAATACAAAAGTCTCTATGTCTATGAAAGCACATAGGGTTCTATCTCTTTAGTTCTAATTGTCTCCTCTAAACTGCTTGTCAAAACATGGAGAGCAGTAATTGTTGATTTTGCTGTCTGGTAAGCATGTTGACTCGGATGGAGTGGATTGGTGACAAGCACTCCATTCGTAAGGTATTGATCAATTACCTTTTCCATCCCTTTGAGAAGAAATGAAGTTAGGCTAATAGGTCTGTGTGCCTTGGGATCGGCGTTTGAACGCCTACCACCTTTAGGTATGAAGACCACCTTTACTTTTCTCTATGGTGTAGGTATATAGGGATATTATTACTGGGAGCAGGTCTTCCATGATTTTTTTTGCAGAAAAATAGGCAGAATTCCATCCCCTCCAAGTGATTTTAGGGCTTAAAATTAGAAATAGCCCACCTTACTCCGTTGTGTATTTACGACTCAGTGTACTTTTCCGTCTTGTTTGCATAGGTGGCCTAGATCAGTGTTATGGTCTTAACCGGAGGACATTGTAAAATCCTCTGCGCTTCCACTAGTTGAAGGCGATTTCTGCCTCGATGCGCTCGGAGTTGCATCAACCTTTTTTATAGTTGCTTTAATCAGTTCCATAGACGTCCTACGCGTAGTTAGGGAAAGAAGGTCTACCACGTCAGAGCCCCGCATGCCGCAGGAAGGGGATTTTGTTCAAACTCGAGGTCCCCAAGTATCCAGAGTCCGCTTATTAGGAACCAAGTATTTCCCACTTGGCCAACGCAATAAACCGATAAAAGTCTTCGGTATAACCTGTTCTATCTTGACTTTGGAGTTTTTAATGAGGTTCAGCCAGCTGGATTCCAGCACATGGTATAACAATTGTTGTAAACAGCAGTTGGTGCCGTTACCTTTCCGTGCACATCCTTAACCACGACACGACACCTTGGACCGTTGGAGTGCCAATTATTTAGTAAATTCCCTTAGCGCATACGAGTAGTGGAAGACACACATCCAGTGATGCCACGAGGAGGCAGACACTCGACGCGGTGCTTTCTCCACCCCCGCAAAAAGCCAGTCTAACCCCCCTTTGTATGTACTAACTTCATTTTCTAGATTACAAATTATGTAGCAGTCCTTTTAGATTCTATCGTCTTTGGGAATGATCCCTTTAATTAATTTTTTTTATTTATTTAAATTATTATTTAGGTCGGAAAATGATGTTGTACCAAAAGTGGTTGAAGCGATTTTAAATGTACCAGAAAATACCCACATTGCAGTTCGACACACTTCCGTACTTCTCTTGGGACAACTATGCGAATGGATCGAAAAGCATCCGGAAACTCTAGATATGATTTTAAATTTTCTCGTTTACTGTCTACCTCAGCAAGGAATTGGGGCGGCTGCCGCCACGGCCTTGCAAAGTATTTGTGGGACGTGTGGAGATCATATGCCTGGACATATTCCGGTACTTGTTCATTTGCTGCGTCAAGTGGATACGTTTGCGATAACCAATAATGCCGTTATTGGTTTATTAACGGGAGTGGCGGCCATCGTTAGTTGTATGCCCCATCGCGATGTAACAAGTGCTTTAAGGGAATTGTGTTATATGCAATTAACTCCGTTGATGCAATTGATCGAACAAGATGTGGTTCCCGTTCGAGGAACTAAATCAGATCCGGTTTTATGGGTTGATAGATTAGCCGCGATTTTTAAATATGTTACTATTAGCGTAGAAGATGGCGAACAACATCCGTGTAAACCCATTATTTTAGAGGTGTGGCCCATTATTTCAAAGATTTTTGATAAATATCAAAATGATATAAGAATAATGGAGAGGGTGTGTCGTACGATGAGATACATGTTGAGATGTGTTAGTCAACAAGTACGAGAGATTTTAGAAAGCTTAGTTGGACAAATAATGCGGTTATATTTAGCGCATAAACATTCGTGTTTTTTGTACGTTGGGAGTATCTTAGTCGACGAATACGCAACTGATGCGACTTGTGTACAGGGTTTATTAGAAATGTTACAAACGTTCCTCGCCCCAACATTCGAATTATTACAAGGGGAAAACGGATTAAGAAATCATCCGGATACAGTTGACGACTTCTTTCGATTATGTACAAGATTACTTCAACGAGCAGCACTACCTTTCTTAAAATGTACGGCAATCGATCATATAATTCAGTGTGCGATTTTAGCGAGTACAATCGATCACCGTGAAGCTAACATAACGGTGGCGAAATTTCTTTGCGATTTTGTCGGGTCAAGTAAAAGTAGTAGGAATCAAAACGATTTTTGCGAACGATCGGAATTGGTTAAAAAGCTTTTAAATAAATACGGCCAACAAATGATGACGAATTTAATACAAGCCTCAGTTTTTTATCTCCATTCTTATATGTTAAGCGAAATTGGAGATTTAGTCTTGGCCCTGTGCGATTACGACCGCGAATTAGCCTCGTCCTGGTTGTACGCGGCGTTGGAAACGTTACCAAAAGATGGAGGAAACGGGGTTATCACCGTTTCTTCACAACAATTAAACGAATTTCATTTCAAAGTTATTGGGTAAGTTTTTTAAATTGTTTTGATTAATTTTTTTTTTAATAAATGTTTCGTTGGTAGGTCTGAGACATCAAAATCGATTACGCACGCCCTAAAAGACCTATCAAGATTATATCGTTGAAATAAAAATGAAGAATAAAGATATTTTAAAACTGATTTATCATCAAGTTAGCTCAATTGAATTAAATAATTCTGTTGTGACAACAATTATGTGTGTGAAAGTGCTTGAGAATGTTAATAATTGTACATTAATTTTATAGTGAAAATTAAGTGACATTAAATAAAGAAAAATATGTGAATGGACTTGAAATTCAAATAAAATATGTTTATTTAAAAATAATTTTCTTTTATTTTTTATTTCCTCATAGAAGTAACTAAATTATTTATTTAAACAACTTCGGGGCGTTGATGTGGTGCGGGTCTGTTAACGAACCCTCGTAATTTATCGGGAGGGGGTGAACTACACGGGCAAATCCAACAAATTTTCGGTTGATTCCCACAAACGTCCTCCATTCGTGACTTTTTGGTCGTTTCTGGTCGGAAAGGCCCCGATTTTGCTAATCGCTCAATAACCGTACGATCAGCACAAATTCCATGAAGTTGATCCGTTAAAATTGCAACCGAAAACATTAAATAAATACTACTTATAATCAATAAAAGCCCATGAGCAATCCTTAAAAAAAAAATAAAAAATTTAAAAATCGCATTTTTGTGGTTATAACAACTCACATTCGGCCAAAATCTTTTTGCTTTTCATAACTGGGGCAATCCGCGCAAAAAAAGAAGATTGATAATGAATAACCGGCTAAAGTTAAAGCAAAACTTGAAAGTACACCTAAAATATTAAATGTTAATAATATAATTTATTCACAAAAAGCTTATATTGTGATATTTATTTTATTTTGAGGTTATATCGAAAAAAAAAACGATTAATTAATTATAAATCACGTTTAATATCAAATTAAACGGTTATAAACATACACAAAAATAAAGGTACAATTCAAGAATCATCAAGTTGCTTAAAAATCGACGGGAAATCATTGAAGTCAGTCCTAACAAATAAAAAAAAATGCGGAAAAGTGTAAAGATTGTAAACTCCGGGTTGGGTTAATATTCGGGATTGGGCTAAACCCGAATGTTTCAAGTTCTAGGACTAGTGTGAGTTCTAGTTTTACACTAACACTATCACCAGAACTAATACAAGACCTAGAACTAGAATCATTTGGGTTTAGCCGTCTTGTGAGACGTGGGGCTAAATTCAAAGGTGACTAGTTATCGGTCAAGTGTTAGTTCTAATTTTGTACTAGAATTAATACAAGACCTAGAACTAGAATCATTCGAGTTTAGCCGTCTTGAGAGACGTGCGGCTAAATCCGAATGTTTTTAGTTTTTGGTCTAGTGTTAGTTCTAGTATTAACACTGTATATCAATAAGCATTGATATACAGTCGATCTAACGACAGATAGTCAGTCGTTATGCATCGCAAGCCTAAGAAAAACAAGGGTTTTTCATCCGAAAATATTTGCAATCTCATCTCGTTTAGTGAAAATAACTTTACTTTTAAGTTACGACATCATTCCCTCCTTTATTTCTAAAACTCCAATTATAACGACGTTTCGGGAAATGTTCCCATCATCATAATTACTATTACAAACATGAAAAACAATCTCCATACACTTAACTCACAAAAGATTTTTTGTTTAGTTTATAGAATATGATTCTTACCTAAGACTATTATCAATATTTATGATTATATATGATTATATATATACCGGGTGTCCCTCAAAAGTGGCTCACCCCCATATTTTTTTTAATTATTAGTGATATAAGAAAACCATTTGGAATGCATAGTTAGCTCGCTAAAACGGATTATTACGACATGAAATCATTCTTTTTGTACTTCCGGTTGTACCGGATGTGAGTATTAATTTCGCTATTTTTTTAAATCTATAATTTTTTTTTCTTCAGTTGGGTAAATAGTATAATTTCACATAACTTTTACTTGAAAAAATTTTCACGATCGCTTATAATTTTTGAAAAAAAAAATTATTTTCGTTATTTTTTAACGTTTTAGTACCTTCGGAAAATGTATTACAACTTTTGACACATAGTAGCTAGGTTAATAGTACAAATTACGTTATGTCCCTCTTGATTTGCTATTCCTCGAGCAGTGATCACTGCTATGCTTTAGTTAGTGGTTCTTTTTTAATAATGGTGTAAATTAACAGTTGTATTAAATTAGTTTTAAAAGAAAAACGCTATCCAACAATTAAATTCAATTGAATTGTAAGTTCAAAAAAACTAATTTTCTAAATTTTCAAAATGCTCCCGCCTCGCTTTTGACATAATTGTATTTTGCGTATTGTCGATCTAACGACTCGACGTTATTCCTGAGGAGATATTTAGGTAATACAATTTCTAACTCGATTTATTTTCTAATACCTCACAAGACCTTACTGGTGTATTATACAGCTCATTTTTGATTTTGCCCCATAAAAAGAATCTAAAGGTGTGAGGTCAGGTGATCTGAGAGGTTTTAACCAAAATAAAGTAAACAATCCAAATTATAATGTACAATGGACATTGTAAGTTACTATCAGCTACAGAACATTTAGTGTAAAAGAACAAAAAATAAAGAAAAAAA